TTGTATTTCTCCTCATGTTTGGTCACATAGTGGCGATTCAAATTGTAATCCTTGAACACAGCGACCTGTGTACCACAAACTAAGCGCACTGCTTTACCTTTGACTTCTGTAAATAAAAACTTTCCAGTCCATGTCTTGTTGAAAATGCGGCATTCTGCATCAACTTTTCTTTTTTTGGCGTGAGTTGACATTTTGAGGATTAGCTGGCCAACATCACCTGTCTCTCACCCGGTAGGTCGGGGATCTTAGGTTCACCCGTGAGGACGGCTGCTTTCTTGGACTGTGCTGTCCAAGTTGAGGAGGATAGAAGCCTTAACTTAAGCGTTTACAGAAAACCTAAACACACTGTTCAATATCTCCTGTTTGACTCTCATCACCCGCTGCAATAGAAATTAGGTGTCATCAGAACTCTACAACAATCTTGTATAGCATGAACGACATAAATATTTTTTCATTCATGTTCTGATTGATGGACCTCACGCGGGCCAGACAGGGGTGCCCGCAGGCCGTAAAATGCCCCGGTCTGATATAAATCATAAACATGTCTCCTGGACCCCTTCCCTGACCAGGCTGCTCAAAGACGTATTTTCTCTAATCAACACATCCATACTAGATCTGATTAACCTCTCTCTATTAACAGGTTATGTTCCACAGGCTTTTAAGGTTGCAGTAATTAAACCTCTACTCAAAAAACCTACTCTTGACCCAGGTGTCCTAGCTAATTATAGAACAATATCCAATTTCTTGTTTATTTCTAAAATCCTTGAAAAAGCTGTTGCAAAGCAGTTATGTGACCACTTGCACAAGAATGATTTGTTTGAGGATTTTCAGTCAGGTTTTAGAGTTCATCATAGTACAGAAACTGCATTGGTCAAAGTCACCAATGATCTTCTCCTAGCCTCGGACAAAGGTCTCCATACTTGTCCTCTTAGATCTCAGTGCTGCTTTTGACACCATTGATCACAGCATCTTACTGCAGAGACTTGAACATGTTATTGGGATTAAAGGAACTGCACTAAGTTGGTTCAAATCTTATTTATCAGAAAGATTTCAATTTGTTCATGTTAATGACAAATGTTCCACACAAACTGAAGTTAGTCACGGCGTTCCACAGGGCTCTGTGTTAGGTCCAATACTCTTCACTTTATACATGCTCCCTTTAGGCAATATTATCAGGAAGCACAACATAAATTTCCATTGCTATGCAAATGATTCTCAGTTATATTTATCTATGAAGCCAAATGAATCAGATCAGCTGGTCAAACTTCAAGCATGACTTAAAGACATAAAGGCCTGGATGACCTGCAACTTCGTACTTCTAAACTCTGACAAAACTGAAGTCATTGTGCTTGGGCCTGAAAACCTTAGAAATCTGCTGTCTAATCATATAGTTACTTTAGATGACATAGCTCTTGCCTCCAGTACTACCGTGAGGAACCTTGGAGTCATCTTTGATCAGAATATGTCCTTTAAATCACACATAAACCAAGTCACTAGAACTGCCTTCTTTCACCTGCGCAATATTGCAAAAATCAGGAGCATCCTGTCTCAAAGTGATGCTGAAAAACTGGGCCATGCATTTGTTACTTCCAGGCTGGACTACTGTAACTCTTTACTATCAGGATGTCCCAATAATTCCCTAAAAAGCCTCCAGTTAATCCAAAATGCTGCAGCCAGAGTACTGACAGGAACTAGCAAGAGAGATCATATCTCTCCCATATTAGCTTCTCTCCACTGGCTCCCTGTAAAATTCAGAATAGAATTTAAAATCCTTCTCCTAACATACAAAGCCCTTAATGACAAGGCTCCATCGTATCTTAAAGACCTCGTAGAGCCTTATCATCCTAACAGAGCACTTCGCTCTCAGAGTGCAGGTTTACTTGTGGTTCCTAGAGTCCACAGAAGCAGAATGGGAGGCAGAGCCTTTAGCTATCAAGCTCCTCTCCTATGGAACCAACTCCCAGTCTCAGTTCAGGAGGCGGACACCCTCTCTACCTTTAAGATTAGACTTAAGACGTTCCTTTTTGATAAAGCTTATAGTTAGGGCTGGATCAGGTGACCCTGAGCCTTCCCTTAGTTATGCTGCTATAGGCCTAGGCTGCTGGGGGCCCCATGATGCTCTGAGTTTCTTTCCCCTCCCCTCCCCTCTCC